TGCATCAGGTTGCCCAGTCCGTCTCCCTCCGCAGACGGGCCTGGATTGCTTTCTATCGGGTCCAGCCATTCCTCCCACCTCCAGCTGCCCTCTCATCTTACGAGACATGAGGCTGCGCTGTACGGCTCATGCATCGCCATTGGGCGCACAGCTGGAGAAAGGCCAGACGAAGACCAGGCCCCCCGCTGTGCTAACCGACGTTGGTGGCCCTTGAGTGTCGATAATACTCGCCACAATTCGAAATGGACCCTGGCACGCCGGCTGTCAGATGATGTAGGCGTGAAATAACAAGCTTGCGCTGCACCATCATCTGACAAGTCGATCGGGCACGATAGGAAGGATATGTCAATCTGTGTATGTAGTCGCTTGGTCGCCGCAACACCGGAGCTGGAGGCAGCTGGAGCTCGAGGGTCGACCTGCCTAGACGGGCCACCCGCGCGCTACGCACGCAACGCCGATAGCCTTCCGCTCCGATGTGAAGTGTGTGCTTCGGGAGGGAGCCTCTTCATGCCTATAAATACCCAGCCTCTCCTCGTCTTTCCCCTTCTTCACACTTCCAACTCGCCTCTCATCAGAGCTCTACGCACTGTTAATCCTCGAGAGCTCTATCATGTCGAACGTCTCTATCCCAAAGACCCAGGTCGCCGCAGTCGTTCCCGCCCCGGGCGCCGCCGTCGAGATTCGGACCGACTACCCCGTCCGTCAGCCATCCGAGCTCGAGCCAGGCGAGTGCCTCGTTAAGCTCACCTACACCGGTGTCTGCCACACCGACCTTCACGCAAAGAAGCACGACTGGCCCGTCAAGCCTAAGAATCCGCTCGTCGGCGGCCACGAGGGCGTTGGCGTCATTGTCGCCATCGGCGAGCACACCGCGCACTCCCCCGTTAAGGTCGGTCAGCGCGTCGGCATCAAGTGGCTCGCCGATTCGTGTCTCCAGTGCGAGCAGTGCCGCAAGGGTCTGGAACAATGTACGCACTTTCCTGTTTTCCCTGCCTCGCATATTGGTGTCTGAACTCGTCACCTAGGCTGTCTTAATTGCAAACTGAGCGGCTACACCGTCGACGGCACTTTCCAGCAATACGTAGTGTCCTTCGTCAACCACGTCTCCCCCATTCCCGAGGGCATTCCCGACGCGGACGCCGCTTCCATCCTCTGTGCAGTGAGTATTCCTCAGGCTGACCTTAGACCATCGTAAGGTAATCATATACGTTATGATTAGGGTGTAACCGTATACCGGGCCATCAAATACTCCCAGACGCATACGGGTGACTGGATCGTCCTCCCCGGCGCCGGTGGAGGTCTTGGTCATTTGGCCGTCCAATACGCACGTGAAATGGGTCTTCGAGTCGTCGCAGTTGGTTCGTGCCCTGTTCCCTTTCTCTTTCGGTGCACCCTAACCCTGCTTTCCAGACACGGGCGCCGAAAAGAGAGAACTCTGCAAGAAACTCGGCGCCGAGCACTTCATCGACTTCCGCGAGTCGAAGGACCTCGTCGCCGACATCAAGGCCGCGACCGACGGGCTCGGCCCGCATGCCGCCGTCGTCACCGCCGCGACGGGTGAGGCGTATAACCAGGCCGTCACGTACCTGCGCAACGGCGGGACGCTCATGGCCGTCGGGCTTCCCGGCGAGGCAACACTCGACGCGTCTATCTTCTTCACCGTCTTCAAGGGCATCAGCATCCTCGGCAGCTACGTCGGCAACCGCCAGGACGCGATCGAGGCACTCGACATTGCTGCGCGCGGGAAAGTGAAGGTGTATTATAAGCTGAAGAACTTGAGCGACCTGAAAGACGTGTATGAGGGTATGGAGCGGGGCGAGATTGCGGGACGGGTGGTGCTGGATTGCGCCAAGTTCTGAGCAACAGGTCTATCTTTCCGAAAGGGTTGAGGGAAGACCGAGGGCGGAGGTCGATGAACGGTTTCTGCTTAACTGTAGATTTTTATAATTGTCTGTATGATATTAGCAGTTGTAGCAGTAGCAGCATGTGTCGTGGAAAGTATTGTATAGTCGTGAATGTACTGTAACTAGCAGTGTCACATTACGCCGCATTCACATTGCGCCTGGCATGGAGACACGATGCGACAATAGGAATTCTGTGCCTCTGCTCGTTCCTTATGAGTTCCTTACGTCGGCATTATCATAGAATTACATGCATTTTGATCGGCAAGCATCATATACCAGTACAAACCGGATGTGAGTGGCCGAAATGGGGGGTTAATGAGGATTCATGCTTCTCTTGGCATCTGTCCAGTTCTTAGATACCCACAGTAAGTTATACACACATTAGTCTATACACACATTATGAGGGCAAAAGGAGCCCAGAAGGGCATCAAACGCGCTCAAGCTCGCGTCGGACACTCCTGGAGAGTCAGCGCGTCTTAAATGAGCGCACGTGATGCTACAGGGTCCGAATATTTCTGTACATGTGTTACATTGAGGCCTCAGTACTAGCAGTGCCTGCCTGCCTGCCTGCCTGTTCTTCAAAAAGCCCCAAGTTGCAATCGGGGAATATTGAGTACGTATACCAATACTGCGCGCCCCAGCGTACGCTTTGCACAAGCGCTCGATAATGCACGTCCACGCTACTGCTATAGCCTACAGGTAATACTAGTACTAGTTGCTTACAGTTGCAGTGTTTATCATAACTTGAAACTCGTTTGGATCAGATGCACGGTATATACGACGGGGCTTCTAGCAGAATTCTCTATCTGCTACTACCTTGGTGTCTTCATCGGCGGCTCTGCAGTGACCGTCGGCACCGATAGTACCATGTGCCAAGAACACCCTTAGTCCCTCTGACTCCCGATGTGAACTTAGATTTCCGGCTCCGAAAGCAATAAAGAAGATCTTTGGAGGACTTGTAACAGCAAGCTAGTCTATCCTTCTTTCAGGTAGAGTTCGGTGTACCATTCCCACCGTCTGGGAGGTCTGCTCTGCGCATTGACGACGTTGTTGAGCACGGGCATTATGGTTCAGACTGCGGTACTCATAATTTTCTCTTTCGGGCTGCTCTACGTGGTGCAGCTGTACCTGGCCTTCCGGAGGGGTGTGAAGAACATAGGGCAAGTACCATACCGTGTGCTCATTTCTAGTGATCACTCATTTCTATGCTTATGAGTAGGAACCACCCAGGGTACTGCACCTTCTTTAGTGGTGCATTCCCCGAGGGGAACTATCTTCCTCGCATACCTGGGATCTCCCCAGGCAGACCTCATCTATTCAAGAGGAAATACGAGGGTAATGCTGATCCTTCCAATCATCTTTTGTCATTCATTCAAGTTAACGAGCTCTATCTGGTTTACCTTGTCTAGATCACAGATCTTCCGGCTGGGATGTATATTCCACAGTACGTTTCTCCGCCCTATGCAAGGAAACCCGCAATCCTAATTCAATTCACTGAGCAAGGTGAGCGTCTGTCCACGACTTCGTTTCGGCTACTGCCTTGCGGATGCAGCAACGATCAAGGTCTGCAATCTTGCTTACTCCCCATAGACCATGGGCTCGTCAACTAACGTTTGAGATGCTTGATTAGGAAGTCGTCTCCTACCGCGCCCGCTTCCCCAAACCGGTCAAGCAATACGGCGCTCTGAGCTTCTTCGGTAAGAACATAGTCGCGTCCGAGGGCGACGAGTGGAAACGGTACAGGAAAGTCACCGCGCCTTCGTTCTCTGAAGTAAGTCGAGGCACGTATATAGCAGCAGGTACACAGACCATTGAATCGGACCGGTGTGGTGCAGAGGAACAACCAACTCGTATGGAACGAGACGTGCCGCATTATGATGGATATGTTCGACAACGTTTGGCAATGGAAGGACGAGATCGTCCTCGACAATTGCATTGACATTACCCTCCCTGTACGTTATTGTCTCTCAACCTACCTGCCTCCATCCTCCTGACTCCATAATCCACGTGAAACACACAGATCGCCCTATTCGTTATCGGTGTTGCAGGTAATGGCCCCATTTCTCCGCGTCGCACATGCTTGTCACTGACATTTGGTCATATATATAGGCTTCGGGCGCAGAATATCATGGACCGACGACCAAAAGGTCCCACCAGGACACCGCATAGCATTCAAAGATGCACTGCATATTGTCTCTACGGAGATCTTCGTCAAGCTGGCAGTGCCAAAGTGGGCCATGGGCCTCACACAGCGGTTCAGGAACGTCCAGACCGCCTTCGACGAGCTGCGAGTGCGTTGCATTCCTATTGGGCAAGCACAGGAGGGATCTGACAGCGAATAGGTGTATATGCTCGAGATGATCGAGGCCAGGAAGAACTCAGAAAAGAAGGAAGAGCGGTATGATTTGTTCAGCAGTTTGCTGGACGCAAATGAGGAAGAATCGGACGGTGAGGCAAAGCTTAGCGACGACGAGCTCCTCGGTGAGTACCCCTGCGCGGCATATTCATTGCGCACGTCTGATCCTCTAAAACTCGCAGGCAACATTTACATATTCCTTGTGGCTGGCCACGAGGTACACATATCATGTTGAGAATATAGGCGACAACTCACTTTGAATATCTAGACGACAGCCCATACACTTTGTTACGCGTTCGGCCTCCTCGCTTTGTACCAAGACGAGCAAGAGACACTGTACCAGCACATCAAGAGCATCATACCCGACGGCAGGACGCCTGTAAGCCTTCGCCATACCTCTCCTCGGTCCAAGCAATCGTGACACAGATCATATTTCAGACGTACGAAGAAATGAACCTTTTCACACGGTCAATGGCGTAAGGCCTCACATTCCACTTGCCTCCAAGTCAGAGGACTCAATGTCGCCACTTTGTACAGCGTCCTTTACGAAACCCTCCGTCTCTACCCCCCAGCGATCAGCATCCCAAAAGTAGCGGCGGAAGACACGAGGCTCACCGTGTCCAACTCCGCAGGTGAGAAGAAGGTTGTTCCGGTCCCGCGCGGATGCGACATCGTCATCAGCACCCCTGCGCTACACTACAACCGTACGCCTGTCTACCTGTCATACTTCTCCCCAGGATGCATGGTGCTAAGTACTTGGCGGCTTGAATAGCGCGGTACTGGGAAGACCCTTACGTGTTCAGGCCAGAGCGCTTCCTCGAGAAAGACTGGCCGCGCGACGCGTTCCTGCCATTCAGTGCAGGTACGTTCACCTCCTCCCCGCTCACATCCCCCACTTGACCCTCGTAACCACCTAGGCGCTCGCGCGTGCATCGGCCGCCGCTTCTTCGAGATAGAGGGGATCGCGATCCTGACCATGCTCGTGTCCAAGTACAAAATCGAGGTCAAGGAGGAGCCGCAGTTCGCCATGGAGAACCTTAAGCAGCGGAGAGAGCGGTTGCTGGCTAATATGCCTGGGATAACGCTGACGTACGTTTCTGTAACTCGTGTGACGCCTACCGAGCTGATAGGTGTTTTGGTTTGCACAGGCCTGTTCGTGTCCCTCTGGTCTTCAAGAAGCGGGCATGAAGGCCATGTAATCAGTATGTCGAGGATCTCGATAGCCGAAGCCACTGTAGGAATGGACACATGTCCGCCTCTGTCTGCAAGACGTTATCTACCACTTCCCTTCGTATGGCTCGCATCGATACCACTCCAGTCAGGGCAGCTTTCGTAGACTCGATCGTTTCATATTACAACACAATGATGATCATCGTCAGGGCATATCAGCGCATACATGATATCACCCGCTCTTGCCACATAGTATGGGTCGTTGCCCGCTCCGACTTAACAAACCCTGGCCTTGAACGCCTCCTTCAGCTAGCGGTCATGATATCGTGGCGCCTCGTGGCTTATGAGGCACGGCTGGCATGTCGTCTTGCTATACTTCCATACTCACGAACAGCCGGCGAGGTAGCGAGCAAAGTCATGAGACTCGTTCAAGAGTTGTAGAACGGGACGACTCGGTGGGCGTGCTGCGGTAGATATGAGGGCAGAGTCATGGCCACCCCAATACCCGAAGCTGACTCACTTCAAAGGACATTGAACTGCTAAAAGCAAGATTCTGATAGACGCGATGATGGTATAATGCTGATCAGCGCACTGAACCTTCTTGTGGCCTACTAGCCGCTCGTGAACGGGTCTTTTTGATCTCTCGCCTAGATCCTAGTACTTCTACGCAACGCGCGCAATACTCTTGCCATTTCTGTAGACTCGACAGTACTCTTGGTCGGATCAGGAGGCATCGTGGGACTGATATATCATCCAGGTAAACGCAGCTGATACTATTAATATTATGAGAACAGCTCCTGACATACAGTATCAATATGGGCAAGCTATCCCAGACTTGTCGTTATTGGGCGACCTCAGCGAGGTTGGACGTTGGACGTTGTCCCGAGGAGTAACGTCCCGCACGGGGGTGTTTATTAGTAAGGGAAAATGCGCGGATTCGGAATGGCTCCAACGGCTGCGAAATTGCTTCCGGTACTTAGGATTACTCACTGGATGTGACGCAAGAACGACCTTTGACCCAGTTTCCCCCACGCTCGTTGCTGGAATAACTTTTGCTATGTCTCATCGTCCTTGCTTCCGCTCCCCCAACATCCTTGTGATTGTCCGCCCGAGGGCGTTCACTAGCAAAGATGATTTCAAATGGCCTGTTTATTGTGTTCTCCGCGGTTCTGCTGTATGGCTTGCAAAAGTACATGGAGTTGAGGAGGGGAGTGAAGAGCATCGGGTGTGTGCTTTATTGCATTTATCTGCTTTCTCTGTTCTCATGGGTGGCACAGTGACCACCCAGGGTATCGTACGTTCTTCAGCGGTTCATCGACAGCGGGAAATTTCCTTCCATCCATCTCTGGTATCTCGCCTGGGCGGAACCATCTTATGAAGCGGAAATACGAGGGTCAGTGGAGGTCTGAAAGGCATACTTGGAAGCTTATCAATGAACACACCGAATAGATCATAGGAGGTTCGGCTGGGATGCGTATTCAGCTGTAAGCATTTCCCTCCAAAGAGCCTCCTGGATTACGTGTATCAAGTACGCCCATGTACGCAGGTTTCCGTATGGCCGCGACTTCGCGTGGGCTACCGCCTCGCAGGCGCAGCCACTATCAAAGTTCGTATTTCCCCCTCGGCTTCCACGCGATTATGTATTGACACGTCCGTACGCCTTCGCAGGAAGTCGTCTCCTCCCGCGCGCGTTTCCCAAAGCCCGTCAAACAGTACGGCGTGCTCACATTCTTCGGCAAGAATATTGTCGCATCCGAAGGCGACGAGTGGAAGCGCTACCGCAAGATCACGGCGCCGTCCTTCTCCGAGGTTCGTCTAGGGTCTACATCTCTTCGCTAGCGACCAGAATAATGACATTCTCAATCATGCAGAGAAACAACAAACTCGTGTGGGACGAAACATGCCGCATCATGATGGACATGTTCGAGAATGTCTGGCGGTGGAAGGACGAGATCGCCGTCGACCACTGCGTCGACATCACCCTGCCTGTACGTTCCCTCTCCTAACGTCCACTAACTCACTTCACTCCACTTCACGCTCAATGTTTACCAAACTCGTAGATCGCCCTATTCGTCATCGGTGTCGCGGGCTTTGGCCGGCGGATCTCGTGGAACGACGACCTCAAGCTCCCGCCGGGGCATCGCATGACGTTCAAGGACGCGCTGCACATCGTCTCGTCGGACGTATTCATCAAGCTCGTCGTGCCAAAGTGGGCAATGGGCTGGACGCAGCGGTTCAGGAACGTGCAGATCGCGTTTGAGGAGCTCCGCGTGCGTCCCTTCTTGCCCTCCTTGTCAGGGGAAGAGTTGACCGGCGCGCTAAGTAGTTATATATGCTCGAGATGATTCGCTCGCGGCGGAACAGCGAGAAGAAGGAGGAGCGGTATGATCTGTTCAGCAGCCTGCTGGACGCGAGCGAGGATACCTCCGATGGCGAGGCGAAGCTCGCAGACGAGGAGCTGCTCGGTAACATATTCATCTTCCTGGTGGCAGGTCACGAGGTGCGTTTCGCCAGGGCCAGAAGCCTCTGTCGGTTGAGCCAACGTGTAATGTGATAGACTACGGCGCATACGTTGTGCTACACGTTTGGTCTGCTCGCGCTGTACCAGGACCAGCAGGAGATACTGTACCAGCACATCAAGAGCATCATTCCCGATGGTCGAATGCCGGTCCGTCCTGGCTGCATCTTTCCAATCTAAACAATAGGCAATTACTAATTCGTGGAATATGGATTCAGACGTACGAGGAGATGAACCTGTTCACCCACTCGATGGCGTAAGCTCCCTCCCCCCTATCAACTTACCTAAACCTCAGCCTAAATGTACGCTGGCAACAGCGTATTCTACGAGACCCTGCGCCTCTACCCGCCCGTGACCGGTATCCCGAAACAGTGCGCGGAGGACACCACGCTGACGGTGTCCAACCTCGCCGGCGAGAAGAAGGTCATCCCTGTCCCACAGGGCACGGACATCGTCATCGACACGCCCGCGCTCCACTATAACCGTAGGTCCCCTTCCCTGTTTCTAACCGGATTGATTGGCGGAATGGGGAATCATTGTATTGTAGCGAGGTACTGGGACGAGCCGAACGAGTTCAAGCCCGCGCGGTTCCTCGACAAGGACTGGCCGCGCGACGCGTTCTTGCCTTTCAGCGCAGGTACGCTTCGCCCCCCTTTCCTCCCGTTCCCCGTTACCCTCCTTACCCAACAACCAACCTATGCAGGCGCCCGCGCATGCATCGGCCGGCGCTTCTTCGAGACGGAGGGCATCGCGATCCTCACGATGCTCATCTCCAAGTACAAGATCGAAGTTAAGGAGGAGCCGCAGTTCGCCGCCGAGTCGTTCGAGCAGCGCCGCGAGCGCTTGTTGGCGAATAGGCCTGGGCTGACGTTGACGTGCGTTTTCTCTTTTCTCGTCACATGCCCTGAACTCTCGTGCTGATGTTGATACAGGCCTATTCGGGTTCCGTTGGTCTTCAAGAAGCGGGTGTGAAGACCAGATATGTATGCGTAGTCCTAGTTTGTATCAGTAGGGAGGTATATTGTTATGACACAGCCTTAGCTCGAGGACATTTTGCTTGTATGGATATTGCAGGACATACCATGTTGGATTACAAGCACGACGTCGACAATACTGTGTCTGGGAGGAGAGAAAGCAGATTTGCCTCTGCGAGCAAGCTAACCCTTCCATAACAACTGAAACTTCGCGAACTGAGGATATTCAGTTCCGGGATATGTGTGCATGGTATATACAGCGAGCAGATCGTAGTACAGATGAAACAGAGAATTAATATTAGTGGTATCTAACTTGACTATCTAAGCTCAGAAAGTCCCCCAGTAAACCCGAGCCGGAAGGTGACGAAGTAGGACGCTCAATCTTTGCTCAATCTTGTGCGGGCTTCTTCGCGACGACGAGGTACATCGGCGTGAACAGCTGCAGGTACAACATATAAGCGCGGGATTATGACACATGACAAGGACGACGCACCTTCATCTTGCCGCCCTTCACGAGCGCATCTCCCGCCACCTTCAAACTCTCACCGACCTCGTACGTCCCCTTGGGCAGGAAGCCCAAGAACTCGGCGATGCGCATGAAATTGTGCGTGACGAGCTTGCCCGACCAGCTCATGCGCCAGACGGTGAAATAGTCCCACGCAGTCTGCGCCTTGCGGATGTCGCCCTCGAGCGGGTAGTACCAGGGCACCTCGTCGGGACGGTCAGCGAGGTCCTCCTCATGCAAGATCTCGAAGCCAACGGTCTGGATCGCCTGGCGCGCAAGGCGGATGGGGCGCATCTCGGGGATGCCGTTGCCGAACTCGATCTCGTGCGCGAGCTCCTTGTGCGACGGGATCGAGGGGTCCCAGGAGTCGGTCATGCACCATTCGTAGACACCGAACTGCGAGGGAGAGTGGGTTACGGGACAAGCGAACGGAGTTAGGCACGTACCACTCCTCCGGGCTTGAGAACCTTGAAGATTTCGCCGTAGACGCCTTCCCATGTAGGGGCGTGGACAGTGGCTTCGATGGCATATACTGTAAAGGGGAGATCAGCATCCTTGCATTCCAGTGATCGGGGATTACGTACCGGCATCAAACGAGTTCGGCCCAAACTGCTCAGCGAGCTTCATAAAGTCGCCCTTGACGAACTCGACCTGGCCTTCGAGATCGGCCTCCTTCGTGTAGCGGCGGGCACGCTGGATCTGGAAGTCGTTGTTATTGAGGCCGACGACGTGCACGTCCGCGAAGCGGGCGATCTCGCGCGCTGGCCCGCCGACACCGCAGCCAACGTCCAGCACGCGCATGCCGGGGCGCAGGACCATCTGCGAAGCGAGGTAGTGCTCGTGGCGCGCGAGCGAGGCAGCGAAGGCCTCGCCCTTGTAGAAGCGCGAGAAGTGGAAGGAGCGGGCCCAGCCATACTCGTACAGCTCGGTCGCGCCATCGTAGTAGCCTACATGGGCTAGAGGTTATGTTACGTAAGGACGCAGGGAGTGGGGACGCACCATTCACGACGTCGGTGTAGTTCTCGAGACGGTTCTCGGTGTCCACCTTGTCCTCCTTCTTCATGTCCTTCTGCCAAAAGGCAGTGTAGTTTTCGATGCGCTTGCCGACACGTCCATCACCGTTGGACTGAACTGCGACAGTGCCGTTGGACATTTTGACCTGTTGACTATGATATGGTCAGTCCCCTGTTCAATAACGGTTGGTAGACGAGAACAAGTTCAGAGACTTGAATGGTTCCCGAAGGAAGAATCCCATGGTGCGCAAGGCGTGTCGACGATTTTGCAGAATAGTTTGCATCATAAAAAGAGGAAAAAACAAACATATACTCACAGGAATGAAGGCGTAAGAAAGGAAGGGGGGGTGTTGAGGGAGCGGCGGGATGAATGAGCGGGCTATTTAAAAGGATTTAACCAATAACGAAAAAATCAGGTCATGCAAATTCGGTCTCAAGGCACTCTCGGGATTGGCCGGTCGCCTTCTCGGTCGATATTCGATATTTAAATTTTGCATGCATCTCATCGGAAGGAGAGGCTTCACCTTTCGCTTCAGCTGCCTTTACTTCTCTTCTAACAGCGCATATTCGCTTTCTACAGCCGTAGGCGGCCACTTCAGACCTTCCAGACTTGCTTCTCTGGCCCAAGAGGAGCCGAAACTTGTCCAGCTTCACCGAAGACCGGTCTCGTCAAGCCTCTGCCGGCCATTTGGTGGAGGTGAGTATAGGATGGGAGCGCTCGATTTCCGGCCCCGTTAGCCTATGGGAACAACTCTAGACAGAGTTTGTCCCCTGCGGCCCCTTCAATTCATATGTCACGGAATGGGACAGACATATCAACGGATCATCTGCCGTAACTCTGGCCCATCTGTCCTCTGCTGCCCTTACTCGGTTCTTGGCGACCGCGTCTGTGAGCTGGGACTGCTACTTTTGTTACACATTCGTCCGCCTAGGATCCGCACCTTGGTGTAAGAATCGCGCTGCTCACGCACGGCCAAAAAGTTTTTCGATGCTGGGATGTTGTAGGTCTCCACTTTGACTTGCTGTTCGATGGGATGGCCAGTATCCGAAGGGGTCTATCGGAGCCGCGGCCGGGGCTGATGCACTCTAATTTGAGGTTGTTGAAGTTTATATGGCATATATGACGCACAGTGAACATCGCGATAGTTGATTCGCTCATCAACCCTGCGCCGTTTACCTCTCCTCTTGTTTATATACTCCAGCCTAGCGTCCTGTTGACGGCCGTCGGCCGGTCTGCGCGGTCCTCGTTTGCCTGACGCTATCGATGCGACATTGGTAGCATGAGGCGGACGGTGATCGTGAGACCATCCCCCACCGGCCTTACTATCCGGTCTCTCCAATATCTTATCGAAAGAGCCCCGCCCATCGTTATGACCGCACTCATTACTGTACTCCGGGTTCGCTCCTATTCTCCGAGCCACCCCCATCGAACGCCCTAGGTAACGTGAACAATCTCGGCGATGTTGCTGCCAGTGCTAGGCACACCCGGCCGTTGTTATAAATACATGTACGGCAAGTGAGTTATATGGATCTCTGCGAATCATGAGGGCGCTACCTGTTCTCATCAGTTAATACGGATGGAGGTTATCGACTCATTCGGCGCTCGCCTATAGAACAACGATCGCTCTTTGGTCGCTATGCACGGCACACACATGTGGTTATGACCCAGAGCAATCGTCGACCTATTTCCGCCTCGTGATGAGGACACTAGTCGCGTCTTGAATAGCTACAATAACTGTTCAAGCCTTCAAACTCGGTTCGGTAGCGGCTTCCCCGCTGCGATCTACCCTGTAGACAAGCGCTGCACGTCACGGGACTGTCCGCCGAGATACGCCAGCCCACTGGTCAACTAGTCCACTGTCAGCGACACTGAACTCAAATCAATAGTCATCGTTGCGTGCCGACTATAGTGGAGACCGTCCCTGGGTGGTGGGATTGTACCCGCACCCAGATGATGATGTGCTGCAGTTGCCTCCCAGAAGCATGAGGCTGGTACGGTGCTCTTGGACCATTATTTCATGACATCCCTTCCGCTGCTGGGTGCTTTGAAGAGAACTATTTTAGTTCTACCATGCCCAACATATTTGAGGTCCACTTCTGGCACAGCTGTGAATGGAAGTCTGAGCATGACTTGTGTTGACGGTGCCAGTGATTAACTTCCCATCAGGAGCATTGATTCGTGCCAGGTTGGATGATGATTCAAATTGTGGCGGACGACCTGGATTGCGCTTCCTGCCATGATGGACTTCACAAGTACATACTTTTCATAGATGATATCAAGCTGGCAGAACTCTGGGCTTCATCACTGATATTCACTTCCTGCTACATTTATGACTTTGTGGCAGGTATTTTTCCAGGTGCTGTGAAAGACTGAAAGTCTGACCTCTCATCTCATCCCAAGAAGACAATTGCTAAGTACCTCCTGAGCAAACTGTTAGCAACCTCATACAGTGAGTCCCTTTTGGGGTCTGGGATGGCCAGCAGTTGTTGAGCAGTCCTTATATTTCACTGTGGTCTGGGGATGGTGGAAGACTCAATGCACTTTACGCACCAAGTCATATGGGTGAATGGGGAGAGAAGGTACATTGCAATACCTTATGTTTGCAATTTGATCCTCAGGCCTCAAGTACTCAATATTGACTACAGTCGAGTCCCTCTTAACTCATACTTCTCATAACCCATAGCATTTTGGCATCCACTGACTTGGTAGATAGTAAATCAGTACCAAAAACCCATAACTCCCTGATAACCCATAACCCATAACCTCCTGGAGGGTCCATAACCCATAATTTGAGCTATTTTTAGCCCGATCAGGCACATATGAGAGCACATTTACAATGCTTGAATTAATTTTGTTGAGAAACTCAGTCAATCCGACAGAAAACGGTGCACATATGGCGATATGTACCCATTTAGGGCGAGATGGATGGTGCGGAACATGCCGGGATGACCCTCGGCAGGCTCTCCCGTGTCACACTCCAAGTCATTGTCACAGTGTGTCACACTCTTAGTCCCTGAAAACCCATACTCACTGCGTTTGCTGCACTTTATCCCACCTGTGGATAGGCGCCTGGATGACCAAGTTGTCACGAACTATCTACAGACTGAGATACCTTTGTTGTCTAGCCAGTAGATAGCTGCAAGAATGTTCCCATGTCTCAAAGTATCCACACCTGATATTACTGGCCAAGCTGTACCTGAAGATTCATAGGCGAGACGTTCTCGCCTTAAACATCTTGGTGGGGGATAGATTGGGTATCACGGGCTTGGGACCGTAAGCTACGTTGACTGTCTTAGAATAGCCTACGGTTCACGGGGCGACGAGATTCGGACGATCAGATTGATTACATAACATCCGTATATGTGCATCCAATATCTAAATACAGTAACAACGCCACCGACAAGATCATCCTCGATCTTGCTCTACCAGCTCGTACTACCACAGGGAATGGACAAAAGCTGTATCAGAGAGAAGGCAAGTAAGTAAGATTGGCTGAGCACAAAGTGGGACTGGTGAAACCACTCACCGCCTAGCAATACTAGTAGTACTAGTACTGGTACTACACCCAATATCGACGCCACACAGCCGAGATTTACGATGAGGGCTGCTGTCGTCGCAAAAATCAAAGGCTGAGGACACCTGTCAATCCAGATCTTGAACTACAGGTACGATGATCACTCACCAGAATTTTTTTACCGCTGCAGGCTGCTCAAATACTGCGACAGTGCAACCGTAATGACGAGCTCACCTCCGTCGTACCCCTCGCG